ACAATAATTGTTTAAATAAATAGAAACAGAAAGGCATTGACATATTTCTAAGATTTTTACTTCATACATACATCATTTAAAACGTCACACCTTTGTTAAAAATCTTTGTAGCATTTCATATCCCATATTTGGCAGAGGACCTCCAATGCTTGTTGAAATACTTTCACTACTTAATATTATAATTCTGATTAGAATTTTTATAATTCTTCAACCACTGCTATACAATTTTGCTTTCTTTCCTAAATTTTCTCAGTTTCTATCATCTTTATTGTGTATTCGTTAATATCTCATTCTANTAGTTATGGTTAAACAATAATTGTTTAAATAAATAGAAACAGAAAGGCATTGACATATTTCTAAGATTTTTACTTCATACATACATCATTTAAAACGTCACACCTTTGTTAAAAATCTTTGTAGCATTTCATATCCCATATTTGGCAGAGGACCTCCAATCAATGCTTGTTGAAATACACTACTTAATATTATAATTAATATTAGAATTTTTATTTATATTCAACCACTGCTATACAATTTTGCTTTCTTTCCTAAATTTTCTCAGTTTCTATCATCTTTATTGTGTATTCGTTAATATCTCATTCTATATATAACCTACAATTATTAGATTGATAAATAATTATCCAAATAATAAATAAAACTTAATACCATTAATTAATCAAAAGATTTGAACAATAATAGTTAATAATGTAAATGATAAACCTCATCTTAATTACAAGTAATCAAATAAAGATAATTTTCCTATTAAAATTCTGCAAGAGAAATCTAATCTAAATCTGTAAGAATTCATTATTTAATTAAATATTAATGTAATTCATAAATTCCCACTTTCTTTTTACATTGCATTTATTTTCATTCCAAAAAAAAAAATGCAGTGATTTAATTAAAGTTAAATCACTGCATTTTAATTCATATTTTTTCCCATTAAAATTCATCTCTTAATGTAATAATAATATTTTATTATTTAACAGGAAAAGGGACTTTATCTATACAAAATAATGAATATAATAGAAGATAATAGCAATAAAAAAGTATATATATTTTTAATCTTTAAAACCTTAAAAGAGGAAATTATTAAATAACTTAGTCCATACTTTAATTCAAATTCATTTTGATAAAATTTCTTTAGGTTACGATTATTTTTAAATTAATTTTTAACTATAATTATTTATTTATTATGCTTATTAATAAATGTAACTATAATATATTTATTTTAATTACTGTTAGAATTCAATTGTTTTAAATTAAGATTATTATTAAACAGTTAACTTATAATTTTATTATTTAATTATAAACATACATATATACATAAATTAATAGTGAAATTGTATCTATATATAGTATATAAGATAGAACATCTGTCTGTTCTCTGTACACTTCTAAATCCTTTGACTAATCTGGACCAAATTGTTTAGAGTTACTCTCTTTCGGAAAAATGCTTCCATGAAACCTAGAAGCCCCCAATTTCACTCCCTTTGGGTTATTTTATGTTTAATACAATATTACATAAGTAAATATTGCATAATAATTAATGATGGAACCATGAATCATATCCTTAGTAATGATCTCAGAGTATAGAATAGTCTTCTAGATTTAGAAACTCTGCAGAAGTAATGTTGTTGATTTGAGCTGGCTTAAAATAACCAAACTTTTAATATGATTTTAATTAATTTTAATATTTATTTATTACTTTCTTGCCTGGGCAACACTAGATATATATACAAATACAATTTAATTATTAATTTAAACTATCATTTTTTTTTTATAATTACAAAAATATAATCTTTTTTAAACAAACAGTTTAGAAAATAATTATGGATAATGTAATTTAAATTACAATTATAAACAGCAATCAATTATTTTACACTGTTGTAATTTAATGTAACATAAACAGGAAGTTTTTTTTTTCTTTCTTTCTTTTGGTACTTTTAATACTTTTGAATAATAGAAATTCCCGTTGTGTCAGATAAAAATAAGCAAAACGAATGTTTACTAATTATTAATTTATGAAATTTCTTAAACTTTTGACGTAGAAAACAATCTCAAGGGAGAAATTTAAAACTTTAAAGTCAATAACACTTTCACACGTGATCACAACAGCTTTAGAATCTACAATACAATGCTTTGATTGTGAATCATCTCATTAACTAAAAATACACGGAGTTAACAAGAAACGAGCTGCAGATAGATGCGTAAATAATCGGAAATTAAAGGGGGCACTACGTTTAACTGAAGTGAACCTGACTTACAATGCACTAAAATCGTGCGCGTGTTAAGTAATATTGAAATTTATACGTGAAAATTTGGACTATATATCGTATATTTCTCGAATGTTTAAATAAATAAACATTGAGGATGATTGTCTCTGCAAAATTTCATATTAAAAGGTACCATATCAGAAGTTCATAGAAAGTAGGTCAGCAACACTAAGAATAAATAGTGAATATCTTAATTTATTATACAATTTAATATATAAATTATAGATTTATTAACAATTTCTCGAGTTTCCATTCAAATTAATGGCAAAGATGACAAGATTACGGAAGTGCAATACTTAAAAATCTTGAAGCGCTTGTCATACAAGTAATTAATTTGAAGGACTGAGCTGGTGATAAAACTAATTTATTATACGATAATATAAAGAGAAGAAAAGTTAATTTTATAAAACAAATGACTCCATTTCATAAATTGAACACAAAGGAATTCCAAGATAGGGATTTTCTTCATAGTTATAGTTCCAAAACGGGGTAATCGGTTATAGAAAATTCGTATCTCGGGCATTCATTCGGCTATTAACTTGACAGATATTTGATATAGAGTCGAATATCAGCCATTTCCGGTGACGTCACGTCCAGAAACGCCCTTTTATCCAAATGTTATTGTTAGTTAATTGTGGGCGGAGTGACGTTAACGGGACGACTACCATTCTTGCACAGAAACATTTGTAAAATATTCCACATAATCTTTTTAAATTATCAACGTGTGTAAAAGTTTACGATTTATTAATGTTTTAAGATAAAAAAAGAAATGCCCCTTCCTTTAAAAAAAAAAAAATTATTATTGCATTGTTACTCTGACGAGATGTATTTTTAGTGGAAATAGTTTGCAGAACAGTCATGGTTCGTTGCTATTTTCTGTAGTGGATTATGTTTTAAAAAACCACTGGCAGAAGGTACAAATGTCCAAGCCAATTTCTGTTTGCCTTAAAGTCATTTGGAACAAAATGTTATACGAAATAATTAGAAGCAAACGCATTAAAATGCCGTTTTAAGAACAGTCCTCACACTTCATACTGCTTCAAAAAAAAAATTATAACTGCATTTAAACTAAATAAATTCCAAAAATTTAAACGTGTTAAACCTCAAATTTTACTCCCGAAGAACCTTGAAAAAGTTCAAATAAATTACTGTAAAACAAAAACTGCATGGTGCAGTTGTAAATTTTACTTTGTATATGTTTTATAATTGATCATCAAATGAATTAAAGAAGATAATAATTATACTTTAAAACTCCTTCTTCTAATATCATCTGTACATAAAATAAAGAATTATAATTTAATTTAATTTATCAGTTAAATAAATTATAATATAATTTAAAATTCCTAGAATACAAATAAAATTTTAATGAAGTAAATTGTGATTTATAACACAATTATATAACATATATAATTAAATTATCATTCGAGGCAAATTGATTGTTTTGATGGTACAAATTTAATGGTTATTTTGTAAATGTAGAGATTATTTTCTTTTAAAAATAAACTTAAAAATTAAGTTTAAATACAAATTATTTTTGTGATAATGAAATTCTTAAACGAAAAAATTTATCTTATCTTCATTCGAGTGTCAAATAAAAGATAAAATGTAATAAAATTTTAAAAATAAACAAAAATTCTAATTCTGAAAAAGTATAAAATGTTACATTATAAAATTAGCAGTTGTATAAAGTAATTTTCCTGCTTTTTTTAAGGCAAATTTTTAAATAATATGAATATATTTAAGTTGCTTAATTATAAAATTAGAATAATTTTAATTAATAAAAAAAACTAATTTTAATTTATATTTTTGTAAAAGTCAAGTTAAAGAACTTTCAAAACTGCCTTCAATGTATAATAGGAGTTGTTAACCAATTTTTTTCCAAGCGTTACGCTTATTTTATGAAAATAATGCATTCGAACTCAACCGTAACGTATATAAATGTATGGAGAATAAAATAGTTTCATTCATAATCTCTCTTTATATATGTGACACTGTTTTTCATCGATTTTACTTAGAATTTTATCCTACTTGATAATCATCACACGCTCTATTTTCGCTTTGTAATGTACAGTACACCTTTGCACAATATTTAAATACTGTAGAAAAGGAGGAAAAATAATTAGCAAGCAATTTCGCAATAGTTTTTAACGTTTACTTTGCACATTTTCGAAAAAATAAAGACGCAACGTGGAAGTAATTAAATACATTTTATAGAGCGTCCTTCGACACTCCCGGAACTAGTTCTACAATTATATGCACGTATGAATTAATAGTATAGAAAAGAATTTAATGAAATTTGATTACAGAATCCATCACTGACCTTTGATTTCTGCAATTCGTTTATCGTATTGTCTAGAAGAAAGTACTTCCACCCCTTCCTCCACGTGGCGACGTTCGCCCTGTGGTAATCGTGGTGACCGAGGTGGTTGCCTAGGTGATTGGGGTCTATCCATGTTTACAACCGAATTTTCGTGTGTGACATTTTTGCTCCGACAGTCGAAGCCAATCCAGCCAGAACACCTGGTCTCCCCTTGGGTGCAACACTTTATTCACAAACCACCTGCCGCACGTTTCTGGTCAAGTCGTGAATCTCGTGTGGTCGACAATTGTGTGGTGGAGACCATGTTGTCTGCTGCAGTGTACGTGTTACTTCCATCGATACCGAGCTTTACGATTGGAGGAAAAATAAATCAATGGATTCGGCGCAAAACGTATTCAATGGTCTGATGGCATTTCCTTTATCGTTTCCTGATGACGTTTACAGTAATTCGTGAAGAATTGCCACGTTATGAATTAATCTAAACAAGGTAGGAAATTCAAACACGAATCGAAAATCTTAAGCGCTGCCTCGTTAACGGCAATTAAATTATGCTAATGTTTAATTTATAATATAGGGGAATAAAACGGTGTGGATTTCTATTGATTTCGGGTAACTCCTTCACGGAAGCGGAAGAGTATATTTGCGTTATTGACAGATGCAGAATCGCATTAGCTTATATGCTCGATATAAAAATCAATAGAGATTTTAAATGTGGAACTAATTAGGCATAAAATCATTCGAAAATCTAATTTTTTATTCATAAAATATTTTATTTTTAGATTAAAGTATTGTTTTATATAATTATTGAAGCATAATTATTAGACTACAATATACTTGTACATGTGGAGCATTAAACTCTCTCTCTCTCTCTCTCTCTTCCTCTATATATTTAATTAATTTTATTTGTTTAGAGAGAGGAAGAGATAGAGTCTAACAGAAATAATTAGAAAAATAACATTTATTTATGGATTAATTAATTTACTTGTACAGTATAATTATTATTTGTAGACATAAATGAAAATTATTAAAAGATATTATCACCAACAACATTTTTTTAACTTTTAGAAATAAATTTATATATGTTAATATAAAAAAAAACAGTGAATGATATGTTAATTAAGCGATTTCTGTTAATTTTTAAACACTTTATTGTCTTTGAAGCCCCTGTAAATGATATTTTCCCTTGGTACACCTTATTTTAAATATATGGAAATTTTTGTTACACCTTCCTGAATGACAGAAATGTTTTTATCATTTAAAAAATAGCACATTTAAAATTAATTAATTAAGTTCTCTATATATATATATATATAATAATGGTAAGCTGTTTAATTTAATTCTATATATTAATAAAGATTTATTAATTATTTTTATTATTTTATCTGTTTTAAAATAGTAAAAATAAAATTATTATAAGCTATTTCTGTTTGTCTAATTGCAATGTAGATTAAAACATACAAATTTTATAATTTCAAAGATCATAATTTAAAGAAATAAAAATTCAAGTAAACAAATACACAAATATAGTAAAATTTGGTTTAAAAAATTCAATTTTACTATATTTATTTGATATCAAAACAGCATAAAGCATAGCAGACAAATACAGAAATAATTGCCTCAATCAGATCAGCCATAAGTTAAAGAGTCATGCACCAAGTACAAAAATAATTTTGTTTCACCACTTCACTCTTCCACATCACAATAACTAAAGTTTAACTAAAAAAAAAAGGAAAAAAATAATCTACATTTAGAGACTATTATTATAATTTATATTAATTTTATGAAATTAAACCTAAGTACATAAGAATATTTATTCTAAAACCTGATATATTGAGAAATAATTCAATTTATTTATAAAGCTTTTATGGTTTTATATATATATAAAGAAGATATAATCTCAATATTGTATACACCTACTTTTAATTATAACTCATTAATTACGTAGCAGAAAATCTAAAGGGATGAATTACAGTTTTTATATTTTACGTTAATATAATCTTAACATCAGTAAATAAGTCAGAATAAATAATATCTTACTATATAAATTTCAGTCATAATAATATTCTAATATATTATATTTTCTATAGTGAGAAATATAAGATTTTGTAGCTTATACAAAGCTTTCTAAGACAACACTATCAAGTAAATTAGCATTAATCATGACATGAAAACAATATTTAAGTTTAAAACACTTTATTAGTATAAATGTCCTTCTTAGACTGTTTGAATTTCAGATCAGTTTTCAAGTAAACTTGTTTGGAAATGATAAAAAGTAAATTGGAAACATGTCAAGTTACATCTGCCAGAACCTAAGCCTCAGGTAGAAACGGCTTGTTAAACATTTTACATAAGATCATCCTCGATAATTTTCACACGACAAGTAAACAATAAAGGTTTAACATAAGCCAAAGGTTAAAATTAATCCGAAAATTTATGCTTTATCAGTATTTTATTATAATTTTATCAATAAAGTGATATTAAAAGATTATTACATACATCATAATATTAAGTAAAATTTACAATTTATTTTTAGAATAAAAATATTAATTTCCATTTTTAATATATTATACAATAATTATAATGATTATACTTTTTCTTTTTATATAAAAAAAAAATATAATCAAACATGAAAAATAAATAAGAAACTTAAGTTTTCGTTCCAAAAAAGCATTTCATTTTTAAGATAAGCTTATGAAGAAGTATGATGCCCTATAACTATGCCTTTAAAGAAAGTATTTATAGTTCACAATACATTCTTGATCTCTTCCATTTGAGGAAGTATTACTTCAAAAGTAGTGATAAATCATTTAGTTTCTGTCATAAACTAAATATATAATGATTGCTGACTTCAACATACACCATAAAAGCTCTCACACAACAAAGAAATTGGAAATAAAGATTAATTTTGATTATTTAAATAATTTACAACAAAAAATTTTTATTGGTTACAATTTTATTCTCTCTTCTATCATAGTTTATCCTTATTTAATATCCATTAAGCAACAGAGAAAATCAGTTATATAATTTTATCATCTTTAACTTTCTTTCTTTTTTTTTTTAATAATTTTTTTAAATTTAAAACTTAACTGCAGATAAATTAATATAAAATTTATAAGGAAAAAATATATAATATATTTTAATGAAATTTTAAGATATTTCTATTTAAAAATTTAAATCTAAGATAAACCCAAATTAAATATTCAGAATGAAAGTTTAAATTTAGTGATGAAAATAAAAATGATAATTTATATTCTAATCACACGAATTACCTTGAACAACTTGCATAACAATTTTATGAAGTATTTTTTTTATTAATCAACCTCCGAATTCTGTCGTTTCGTAAGGATATATGTGTAAAACATTTAGTAATGTAATCATATCTAAAATTAATTCAATAATAATTATGTAAAATAATACTTTTCAGGTTCTATATTCCATATAATAATTATCTGACAAGAAATAGATATTTAATAATGGATAGAGAGAAGATCCATACATAAAAAAATAATTTAAGAATAGAAAATGTCAGATCTTTTTAGCACTGTTTAACTAGATCCTTCCATAAGTTGATACTATTTTTTTTTTAATTTTCTTTTTGAAAGATAGCAATCAGAGTCTGTAAATATTTAATAGATATTATTTTAGCATTTAAAGGAATCTTTGCTTATAAAAAAAAAAAAGAGGCTCCACCCTGAGTAGATATATGATGACTGATAAGGCACGCCCAATTTCCACAAGGTAATATATCTTCAAAAAGTGCTAAAGATTTATAACAAAAATGATATTCCTTCTTTAATATCATATTTAAACTTAATTAATGCTGTTATTCTAAAGATTTAATATATTTTTCTACCTCTTCCTCCATCAAAAATTTATGTATAAATTTTTTTTTAACATGAGGAAGAGGATTTTAAAGTGTTCTTCCTGGATTTATTCATTTAAAAGAAAGAAAAATGGAAGGAAAAAAATAAAAAATTGATAATTATTTAGAACAAATTTCAAAAGAGAAGAATTTTGTAAGAGTTGTAAAATTCGTGACACGATTATTTAATCATTTAGCATCGTGACCGCTTATGATTTACATAACAAGAGCGCACTGTTGATGCATTGAATCTATTAAGATCCATTCTTCATTATAATTTTCAATGCTTTTTAACGATGACATAAATTATTATATATAAATTTTACATAATGCTAACTCCATCTAGTGATAAAAATGAACTATTTACAGTATAAATATGCGACAAGTTAAGGAAGAAAAGTGAATTTTTTAAAGATTTAAAAGAAAAAAAAAATTGTGTCAGGAATCTGTTCTACTTATCGTCAATAAATTAACCAGATTGAGCATGACGTAAACGTTAAATTTAAACTAAGATTCGAATAATTTCTGCCTCTCGCCTACAACTTAAAAGGAAATGCGTCCACCCACGTGATAACATTACCGGAATTTCGCCTAATCCAAGGTTATTGATGTAATAACTTTTAAAATAATAATAATAATATAACTTGTATAACACTTAGAATATTAATATTTTGAACAGTATTACATAGCTATAATTTATAAAATTTAATATTAACGTGGGTTGGATTTTGACTTGGTACCCCTAAGCTATCAGGATTCCTCCCCCTCTCTCTCTCTCTCGACCGGAGGTTTTGCCCAAATGACCTTCCCCTCATCAATAAATATGTGTGAAGGTCTCAGACAAAATAACATTTTAATAAATAAATTACAAAAAATTAATTAAAATAGTGAATAAAGTTTAATAAACATATAATAAAAAAATAAGCAAGTTAATACCCCTTCTGCTAATGTAAAGTCAACAGGATATTTAGCCTATATATTTCGAATTTTATAAAATCTTGAAGTGATAAGATCTCTTGTTAACAAATAAAGTATTTATAATGAAAATGTCTTAATTTTTAAATTATTTTAATCATATTTCTTGATCATTTTTCTTTACTATTTCCGTCTTGTGGGCACTAAAAGGACCTTTTTTCCAGGCCCATCGTAGGTCTGGCTACACCCACAATGCAGCAACCAATGGGTTTTCGACCCGTGTGAACTCGAACCCGGATCCCTCAGAGCGGCAGGCTAATGCCTTTCCGCTCTGAAAGACACGATCTTTTCCTAGTAAAAATCGAGAGCTTACTCAATACATTTTTAATTAGTTAAATAAACAATAATAATTAATTAAATTCACATTTAATAATGGAAATATCTCTTAAACATGTTTTAGTTTTAAAAAAATCCCCTTTTAGTACAGTGGAAGATTATTAAAATCATATTTTTAAAAATATCCGCGAATCACTATTTGAGAAATTCTGATTTAAATAAAATAATTTCATACACAGTATATCAGAGTTTCCAATGTTTTAATCTATAAATAACATCTTTCATTTAGTATATTGATAATAAATTAAAGGGTTTTATATGAAGAAATTTGTATTCTAAAAGATTTTAATATCGAATCGATTAATTACAACGATTAAATTTTACTGGTTGATTATATTTGATCGATTAATCGATTATATATCAATTTCTAGTGTATATAATCTATAAAACTTTCTCATTTTTTGTTTCTTATATTCAAAAAGTTTTCGCTTGTGAAGACCTTCGAATAGACAATTGTTAGTTAATTATTCAATCACCCACGAAACATGTTTGAAATAAACTGATACACATGACAAAACCTACTTATATGTAATTAAAATGTGTTATAAATTTGATATTGTAGACAATGTAAGGAAAAATTTCACTGTATACAAATATTTCATGTTGAGTATAAACAATATAACTATTTAATGTTTGTTTTTCTGTATATTATAGCTTTGTTACTTTATATCAATATAATTTGTGAAAATATCCATATAAGTGCAACTGTTCTCACTTACACTTGGATAAATAAAACTGGATTAATGAAATAAGGCAACAGAACATATGGGCGATCTGCCAAGGACCTTCAATAAGAAACTGACCCCTATTTAGGTGTTAGACACGTGAATAAAACCCGGAAACTCCATGTGACCAACCTTCGGGTCAGGCAGGAACCTTGCGACCAGCTACCAGTGTTCGGTGATTTTATTATAACTATATTAATTCTGTATATTGATATCAATTTTTGGTATTTTACGTGTATTATTACATAAATATTTACCAAACTTTATTTAAACGTTCATTTAGACAGTTAGTACATTAAAATATAATTAAGTCCTTAACTAAATGATAATTTATTCTTAAAGATTTTCTTTAAAATGTTCTTTTAGTAGATTTGCGTTTAAAATACAAACGTTGATAATTAATTAATATAATCTGTGAAAATTTCCATATATTAAGTGATATAAGAAATTCTAAATTCTCTCAAAAACAAATCTGTTAATCAATCTCAAGTTTCATAAAAATCTTATAGAATTATAAATGTATATACAAAAAATAATGTTCTGTTTTTCCTGATAGAGATAATCTCTGACTGGAAGAACAGCAGGACATATCTTATGTAATATAGACGTAAGCTTATCACTAAATTTATAGTCAATATATTCTCGTCGATAATTTCAATGGACGATGGATTGGACATAGATCCAATATGGTGGAATCTCCTCGATATCCAGTAAACAAAACGTGGTAATTCTCTTTGTGAAAGAGTAAATCTCTGAAATTTGCCCTCTCCTTTATCTATTTTTTATGACTTCAACTGATAACGCGGAAAATATCTAGAAGAATATGGATGGAGGAATGAACACAACTTACGAGCAATTATTTATTGTGATAACATTGCAATTTTCAATCATAATTTATTTAATTTAAAATACATTCTCTCCACCTCAGATTAGTAGTGGCTTGGTCCTGTACATCATACTTTTCCTTTAACAATAGTCGTGCCTGTCATTAACTGCTTTCAGGAAAAAAATTTTTGAATTGAAATAACGTGGCTTCCAGTTTGCATCAGAAGTTCGTATATAGTTAATTAGAGCCTCCTGCCCCTAAGGTTTCCATATCTTATCTTGTCTTTCATCTATCCAACTCCGTTCTCGAGATTAAGGAAAGACAGACAATAGGAATTTATAGGTCTATAATTTTTTCAAACTGCAGCTCAATAATTAACATGCATAGCGATGTTGTAATTACTAGATATTTCAATATTTTGAAATATAGACATTACGTATTATTGTTTCATTAGTATTATCATATTTCAAAATTTACATGAAATTTTTCGATTGAAACGATGACTTCTTCATATTTCAGTGTCTTATGAAACATCTTACGATTTCAAGCATGTAAATCCCTTCCAGATCGAACAATATATCTGAGAAAATAATACAAAGTAGTTCTGAAAATCTAAGTAATAATCGAACATATATAGAAACCATTCAGCTTTATTAAAGCATCGATCCTTTTATCTATTTTTCATCATGGATAACGTAATGCATTATATTTAATCAACGCCATTTCAATACTATGTATAAAAGTGTATTACCGTGTACAATCGTCTAAAACGAAAGTTATAAATCTAAAACAGTGATTCATCAGTTAAACTATAAATTTATATAGAAACTGAATATAAAATTTAATTAATACTTAATTAACAACGCTTTTTTGAAATTTACGCACGAATATATTGAAAATATTAAAAAGAGTGAATATTTTTGCTCCCTGATTTCAAACTGTTGTGAAAACTTATGGAATAGGCAATTAAACGGAAATTACATCAAAACAAATATGTGGCCAAGGCAATTAAGACGTCAGCCTACCGCTCTGGGAGACCCGGGATCAAATTCTGGCAGGCGAAGAACTTGAGGAATTTTTTATGGGCGGTCCATTCCGAATATGTGTCTGCCCCTTTCCATCCAGCCGCCGCAACATGAAGGGCATGGAAAAAGGGTCCTTCTAGTGTCCAGAAAGAATCCAATATACATGTATATTCCGTCCAAATATTCAATTTTTATCAAATTTAATTGTGAATACAATGAAAATCACAACTAAAATTTTAATTGTATTGGCCTACTATCAGATTCTTAGAGAAGTGTAATGAAGTCCTAGTCTAGTAATAAATATGATGTCTCATCATCTCAGAAAAAAACAAAAATATGTAAATAAAACAAATAAAAACAGAGTTTTCATTTTTTATCATTATAAACTTCACTTCATAACTCTCTGGTATCATGCTTTTCACATAAACGAAATTCCATCTGTGTTTAGAGTCCGAGCAAAATGGCTGTCAACACTTAGTTTAGGCCTGTAGATAATACATATATAAAACAATAGGCATAACTCATCCTGAACAATAGATCTTAAAAACAAACAAACAGAACTTTAACAAACTTTACTACTAAATATATCAAATACTTTGGCATATTTAGACATGAAATGGATTTTATGAACTAGTCTTGTTAGACATCCAATTCCTTAATTTACAGAACAGTATTTTACATTACTTTTTTGATAGTTCTGTTAACATATATTCTATCAACTAGAACAATTTTAATCACACTAGACAAACACTAGAATCAATATCTAACTATATCAAGAACTAATCAACCACAGATAACAAATTAAAAATAACAACAATAATATTAATATAATAATAATAATAATAATAAAGACTTTTTGTGGCTTCTTTCCTATTCTTATTAGGAGTAAAATTGAAGTTTAATGTCGCACTTTCGCCCCTTTCTATGTAAGAATTAACATTAAAATTCTTATTGATTTCAAAAAAAATATTTATGAAATGTATGGAGGAAAAAAATGTGTAATTTTTTATTTAATGAAACCTGATACTTTGGAGTTTATTAACGTTAATGTTTAAGGTTGCGTAAATAACAAATCCCTATACAGTGATAACGGATGTTTTTATAAAGCGAAATATTACATAAAATAAATATATTACTTAACCTGAAAACTTATTTAAAAACTATAGTAGGGTAGAGAGTTAACTATGTAAGTGTTATCCTAAAATACTTTTAAAGTTATTTTTGAGGCTAGATCCTACTTTAGACTCCCCATCTTTCTCACTTACAAGAATACATTTGAAAGTAATACTCCATTTACATACAAAAAAAAAAAATATGATAAAAATATTAATAAAAAGTTAAATTATTACTCAATTTGTTTTAATTTAAACATTGTCAAAAATTGTCTTGAATTAATAAATACATTAAAAATGCTTATTTATTAACTCTAGCAGTTAAATTCTTCATCCAAATCCTAACTTTCTTGCATGTTTTTATGTATATATAAAGATAATTATTAAAGAACATTTTAAACATTTTACTGATTATAATTTCTTTATTAATGAAGTATTTAAATATAATTTTATAATAAAAAAACTTATAATTTTATTTAAATATTTTTTTATACAGATGACAAGAAAACAAAGGAAAAGCAGTTTATGAGCTGTTGGTTACTTCATTAGTCATAAGTCTAATTTGTAATTTGAAGTTTTAGATGAGAATTAAAAAAAAACAAAAATGTAAGTATATTTAGAATATTCTAAAACAGGGAATATTCAAATAATTAAACTTTTATGTATATAAATTCTGTATTTAGAATATTAAAAGCCTCAAGAATCTACTTGAACTTAACTGTTTAAACTTGCCAAATAATTATCCCTTTCATCAAAATATAGAAAATGATTCATTCCTCTTGCAATATTCAAAACATATTTATCGGTTCTACTTAAGAAAATTCTTTAATCTGAATAAATCTAGCATAAAATTTCATTAAAGGAAATAATTTTTATGGATATGTAAACAGGATATTCTTATATTTTTAAAATAGCTGAATTATAAATTTTTTAAACATTTTTCTTATAGTAAAGCAATGATTTTTACCTTATTCTTTATTAAATATTGGATTTTTTTTATTATTTAAAAGTACATTATTAAAACCTTTAGATTCTCTATTTTCTTTAAATTGTATAATAAACATATTTAAAATGAAATTTATAAAATAAATCAGACAGGATATGACATAAAGCATAAAACTTCCAAAGTATAGATGAGTCAAAAATCATTTTTCCTCAATAATTTGTAAAGTATATCCTTTAAAATATTATATTAAATTGAACAGAATTTAATTAACCTACTTAAAGGTTTTCTTGTTACTTCCCATATAGCAATAATTAGTACATTAAGTTAATAGAAAATTCAATTAAAAAATAAAATTAGAAAACTACTTTAATCTGATTCCAAAAATCTCTTCATAATGAAGCTATCTAATTGGCATCTCATAACTTATAAAAGAAAGACTACAGTTTCTAAAGATTCAAAAAATTTTTTTTAGAATCATTGTAAATTTATTTAAAGAAATGATAACAATGTTCATCCGCACGATCACCTTAAAAGTAATTTAATATATAAATGTAGGTTTTCTTCATTTTATTGCAATAATTTTATTTACTTTACACATTTTAATATATAACAATTAATTAACCTGTTGTTATACCTATCAAAATTAATAATAATCAATCAAAATTAATCATTAACCTAATCAAAACCTAATCAAAATTAATAATTTCTCCAACAAACACATTTAACTGTACAAAATTAAATATTCCAAGTATCAAGCTCTTGTATTTGGCAAACTCAAAAATAATATATAAATGTAAATTTCAATAGGTTTAAAATAAAAACAAAACAAAAGTATAAGCATAAAATTTAGAGTAATACCAAATTAAATAGATTCTACAATAAGAGCTATATATTTCATTAAAAATTAATGTGTTTCCTCTTAGAAATATGCTAATTTTCTGATTTAATAAAGTTATTATGGAATGGCTGTATCACATTTCAGCATCATATATACTTTACATGATTACAGTTTTAAATATTAATTTAAATGCTGTTTATTCGAGTATTTAAAAAGAAAAAAATAAGACAGAAAAATCTTTAAAAAATTAATAATTTTATGCACAGTATTTTACATTACTTTTTTGATAGTTCTGTTAACATATATTCTATCAACTAGAACAATTTTAATCACACTAGACAAACACTAGAATCAATATCTAACTATATCAAGAACTAATCAACCACAGATAACAAATTAAAAATAACAACAATAATATTAATATAATAATAATAATAATAATAAAGACTTTTTGTGGCTTCTTTCCTATTCTTATTAGGAGTAAAATTGAAGTTTAATGTTGCACTTTCGCCCCTTTCTATGTAAGAATTAACATTAAAATTCTTATTGATTTCAAAAAAANGGGATACCTACCAAGAGGACTTTCTATGGGAAACTGGTGACATTGGTCCCTATTTAGGTGTTAGAACACGTAAAGTAAACACAGAAAACTCCACGTGGACAGCTCGTTGATGAGGCGCAAACCCGCGACCAATTACCAGTGTTAAATGATTTTTATCCAGTAGTTTACACACACATCTTAAATCTAGAAAATACAGGCCGGCTCAGACGTCGATTTTTCAGACCTCAAACCCAGGCTCGTAAATGTAAATTAAAAAGGCAAGGTTAATTTCAAACTGATAAAACACCACGCGTAAATATCGTAAGGCGCTGTCGCAATTATTTTGGGTTTCCTGCTAATAACTTTCGTCCGAGGCCCCGCAAAATCTCCAGCCGGCCTGAGAAAATACATTTATTAAAGTATGATCTAAGGATGTTCTGTTCGGTTTATTTGATCGCGGCAACGCGACATGTGAGCGATACCACCGGGAGGCTTTTCTAAGGGAAACTGATCCCTATTTAGGTGTTACTAACGCGAAGAAAACCCAGAAAACGCCACGTGGTGGGTCCGTTGGCGAGGCGCAAATCTAGTTGTTTTAGTCATGGGAGTGGGCCTCAAAGTTACGTTTGTATTGCATGAACTTTCGATAATTATTGATAGAAACATTAATAAACGTACACAGAAAAATTAATGATTACATTCATCAAATAAGCATTAAAGAATTACAAGCTCTTCGGCATATAACATAAAAATGAGATCGATATAGCGAAGTATGACACGAGTCGATTGAAAGCGTACATAATAAGTGATATGTTATGTAGAACGGGAGGTCGTGGAGTTTAACTATTATTTAAACATAAAAAATTATTTTTAAATATAATAAAACTATTTTTTTTGTATTAAAAAAAACATTATTAAAATTTAAAACACGTTATTATTATTTATAAGTTAGCAACGTCCTGTATGAATGTTGTATCAGTATCGTTTAAATGTTTACATAAATTATAACGAATTTTGTTTATTTTAAAGAAAAGTTTTGTTCTAATTTCTAAAAAAAAAAAGGTGTAACAGTTCTATAACATTTTCCACTTTCTACTAAAGTTATTTCATTTATTATATAAGCTTGACACAATTTACATGAATTTAATCACATTATTCATATATATAATATTTTTCTCACGTTTTCCTACCTAAAGTTAAAACATCTCATTATTATTTATAAGTTAGCAACGTCCTGTATGAACGTTGTATCAGTATCGTTTAAATGTTTACATAAATTATAACGAATTTTGCTTGTTTTAAAGAAAAATTTTGTTCTAATTTCTAAAAAAAAGGTGTAACAGTTCTACAACATTTTCCACTTTCTAGTAAAGTTATTTCATTTATTATATAAGCTTGACACAATTTACATGAAGATTTAATCACATTATTCATATATATAATATTTTTCTCACGTTTTCCTACCTAAAGTTAAAACATCTCATTAATCTGTTGTTAATATTATAAGAAACTATAATAAATCATATTTCGAAAAATTAACTTTTTAAGCATCGATCCACGTGTTCCTCTCGCATTGCAATGTCAAATTTTCTATTCCTAGTATTAGATTTAATCCACTTCCTCGTGTTTTGGCTTCTTTTGAACGAATGTACGGAGACACTCTTTAAAAAGACAGAATTTATATTCTAAAATAAGAATGAATCTCATATATTTAACTTGCTTTATGCCGTTCTCAAATCTTACAATTCAAATTCCATCCGTTTCTAATCAAGATAAAAGGCTGGAAATTTGAGGACATATTTAAATCCGATGGCAATGCATTTTAATGATGTTTTAGGGGTGGCTCCACCCCGAAACCCGATAAACATAGCACTTTTAGGGTGCTTTTTTCCTCTCAAATTAATCATTTATCGCTTATATTCATTATAATTCTAATGAATTTTACCTTGTCCATTATTCTCCAAGATTATTGCTTCCGTTTTCACAATTCCAATTTTATAATAAGTTATATTTCATTCAATGGCTGTTTTGTAAATTATTCTATCGCTATGAACAACACAAATTCCAATCTACATAGACTACTATAAATGAATATTTAAGGCCATGATTTAGTATCCGATGATAATAGATTCTACTACAAATCGGTAATAAATTACAGCGTAGGCTCTATCGTAGAATATTTCCTATTGAGTTTTTTTTACATCAAAAATTTATCAGCTAATTAAGGTAGACCCCCTATAACACTGTTGATTATTCCGTTTTATATGAATTCCATGTGGTACGAGTCACTTAGATTTTACAAATACGTGTGCCGGGCTGTAAACGGTTCATGTACAGTATTTGTAAAATCTAAGTGACTCGTACAATATGTAATTCATATAAAACGGAATAATCAACAGTGTTATAGGGGGATCGACTGTATAATCCACAATCGGCTAAACACCTTTAAAAAACTTAATACGTTCAACAATATCAATTTTTCTGTATAAAATAAGTATAATCATTACGATTTAATTTAACTATACGAATAATTAATATTTTGTTATTGATAAAAACAATTAAGAATAAGCAATCAAAGAAAAATCGGTTGAGATCATCACTGATTTAAGTGACTATCATCGCGTTAAAACTTAACTGTTTCTATTCTTTATATTAAATAAAGAATGCGTATCTCATGTATTAAACAAAGAGTTAAGATTTCTGTAAAAAAAAGGTGTTAAATAATTTACATAAATTGGTATTTTTTTATATTCTTTATGGAAAGTAGATCACGTTTGTTTCTGATGATTTTGTCCAAATGTCATAAGAGTCGAGTTTCAAGTAGAGCGGAAATGCTTTTTTTTTCTTCTTCTTCTTCTTCTTCTTTATATTTACTAACGTTCTTAAGCAGCCTTTTGCCAGATTGTAGACGTGGAAGGCACGTCCCTAAATTTAGAAGTGTGCTATAATCACTTCCGGGAATGTTGATTCAATTTCCTCAAAATTTAAATGTTTCGTCAAAATTCTAATCATTTTATCAATTTAATAACTTCATTTCTTACTTTATCATTATATTGATATATAGAGAAGTCTTCATAAAATAATATCAAATTAATGAAAAAAATATTATTATTAGACTTTAAGGATTTTAAAGAGTGTTTCATTTCATCCCATTGATAGTAATTTAATATAGATTTTATTATAAAATTATTTATATAATTATAAATATAAAATATACAGAATTTTATTAAATTAATAGCTTATTTAATCATATGTAAATTTATATATAAAGTTTATATTCCAGAAGCATGTTTAATCTAGCAATCTTCTACAAGTGAATTACTTAACTGCTTGACTAACAAGTAAGTGATGCTGTCATTGTTGCATAATTCTGCTTAACAATTTGATCAATTTAAGATTGTAAATGTCACGTACAATAACACTAGCTATTGCAAAGAAGAATAATATTACCTTCTCAAATATCCGAATTTAAAAATTCCGTTTTCAATATAAAAGTATCGAATTTTAATTAAAGCTTACGTAAACAAATTACAAGTTTTTATGCTTTATAAAATTAACTTAAATATATTTTCAACATTTATAACAAGAAAAGTAATCTTCATGTACAAAGTGATATAACTACTTGTTCAAATTAAAGTAGGAATAAATTCTCAGATACTTCTTTAGGTATTTAATATTTATGACTGTTTTGACAAATACAGGAAAGTCAACTTAAGTAAGGTCAGTCAGCGATTATAATAGATTCCGAAGCATGTGATAGGTGCCAGAAATCTTATACAAGAACAGAATAATGAATGTAAAATGTGTCTAAAGAATTTTATATCATCTCTTTAGAAAATTATTCTGAAGTTTGATATTAAATATATTTAAATTTTTGAATGTAATCAATCATGAAAAATTATCTTCTTTAAGAGTATTTTATGATTTTACCAAAAAAATTTGCAATTTTATAAATATGATTAGTAATTTGTTCACAGTTGGAATGGTTTCAAAATCAACTAAATTCTGCTATTTCACGTTGATAAAACTATTATTAGCACATCCCACTAAACCAAATAAAAATTCTTAGCTTTATTTAATCTTTTTTATTGATGTTTTTATATAATTTCAAACACAGTTAAAGTAAATATTTTATTGTAATTCTGTCATTACTCTTCCTTCAGAATGTTTTAAAAGCTATAGGCCCACAGAATCTTTTTAACTTTCTTGCCAGTTGCCACAATTCTTAAAGTATGACTTTAGTGTGATATCTATATATAAATACTCCCATGATTGCATTAATGTATGTCAGAAACAGTACAGAGACCAGATGGAGTTATGGCATTCGGCCAGGATGCAGCAGGTATTTTTCAAAAAAGTCCATACTCCAATCTCAAAATCTGTAACCTCATTAACAGCAAATATATCTTTGGAGTAATAGTTCAAATATTAATGGAAAAATTAAATTTTTACTTATAATGTAAATTAGCGAGAAATATATAATCCAATTTTGGTTAAATCATAAATGCAGGAAAGACTTATACAAAATCTAAATATATATAAAATTAACATACCTGCCAAATAATTTATTGTCTGCAAATATTGATATTCTTTCTCGTCTATGTAATCTTGAGATTGAGCGGCTACAATTTCGGCCGTACTCAGGCCTTCTTGTTCTTCGGCCTGTCCTTCTCCCCATATCCTTTGACCCCAAGGATGGGGAGGACCGGCGGACGGAGGATCACCTTCTTTTTGCCACTGATGCCAAGATGCCATATTTCATTAAAAGGAATAGCAGCAACAATTAACACTGCATCACCTCTGCTGCTCAAATCATTTATATAATTCCTTACAGTTCCATGTTGTCAAACTGAAAATATTAAAATAAATCATTAACATACATATAACTATTAAATCAAAATCACATATAATGTTACATAATATATTCATTGAACAGATTATTATTGTTAGAATACCATTTACTAAAAACAGTAAATGTGACAGTCTGTATCTACCATTCCAGTTACTATTTTAAATGATGCTGATTATAGTACATTGCACAATGATCACGGTTCACAGCCAGCCACCACTATACAAGCATGAGAAGATGCAAGTGGAATAGCATTTCTCAGTCTTGTCATTTTTCTTACAGTCTAAATGGTGCCAGACGGTACATAAAAACAAAAACTATTTTTAATGGTATGAAGAATAGAAATTTAAAAGTTTTAATTGTATAATTTTGTTTAGTCTATGAAAAATATATTCTTAAAATTTTATCTTTATATTTAATTATTAATCATCAAATGATAAATTTCTGTTTATATAACACCGTCCTTAACAAACCGTTGATCTAATAAAATCTGATGTAGTTTATTAACTAATGACTTTATTATATTAAAAATTATTTTAAAATATGTAAATGACATCTGACAAGTAATGTAATTTATTTATTACCTAATTTTTTTTTATTATTTTACACAAAATATTTATTTTATTTATTTATTTTTTTTCAGTTTTACAGATAGAAAATTTTGTAAAGTTTGAGATTAAATAAGTAAATAAATATATACTAAACAAAAATAAACTGTTTATTCAAATTAATTTCTAAAGAACAAACAATAAATATAAACAAAGATAAGTTTTTTTTAAATTACTGTGTACAGAATAAAGCCTCAATCAAACTGTAGTTAAATAATTTTAAAAATCCTTATGAATTTAAATTTAGGACATAAAAATTCACTCAGTTTCACTGCTCTTTAATATAAACAAGACCACGTTGTAGAATGAAATGTATGAAAACATCACTTACCTTCAATTTCTGATGGAAAAACGAAGAAGAATAATTGAAAACTTCTTTCTTCGAGTCGGACGAGGCTCGAAATGATCATAAGTTTTTTTACAATTCGGTGGCACGAGTTCCCACATGCGCCACAAACATTCGTAAACAGAAAAGGCGTGTACCTTGTCAACGCAACACCATCTGGTGATCAATTATGGAAGTAACAACAATTGTCAAATTATTTTATTATTTTTTTTCTTTTAGAAAATTTACGTTAATTTTTTTATATTTTCGTGTATAAAAAAATTAATAAATTACGTAAATAATTTTTTTCGTTACTTTACGCATTACTCGCATTTTAATATCTTTCGCGTTTTGTATCGAAATTCGAATTTTTTTTTTTTATTGCCGAAATTTAAATCTGTAGCCTTTAAAATAGTTTTTAAAAAATTTTCTTTAGTCGTTGATTTACTTGTAAAAAAGTATCAAAATCTATTAAAGTTATTCCTTTAACGTTACTCATAGATTCCATAGAGGATCAATAGGCGTATATATCGATTTTCTGAGTAATTTCAGGGAAAGGCAACATTAATTTAAGGGAACTCGTCGATAAGAAAGTGTTGTATTTAATTAATAAATTTAACAAACTGGCATGGTTAAAGCTATTGAAATAATCCCAATTTAGATGAACGAGAGGAGAAACATTGCCAAGACACTTAACTTTGCTATCATCGGTATAACGGCTCAAGATCCCCTATTTATAGATGAACGTTTATAAAACAAATAGACTAAATTGGAGAAAGAGAAGGTGAAGGGCATCCTCCCACTAATGAACAATTTAAAACGATCTTTTTTACTATTACTTTTTTTATGTGATTTGTGCATCCCGTTCATTTCTCAAGGAAAAATAATAATAATAATAATGGATCTGAAGTGTTGTAGTATTAAATCTTATGGAGTATTTGTGATTTGGGTGTTGGATCCCTCAGTTACATAAAATTAAACAAAAAAAATGTTTATAAATAAATAAATGGTTCTTTATGGTGCGCTTAATTTTTCTTCATTCTGGTTTTATTTTTTACATCATAGGAGCAAAATCTTAGTTACTCCACTTTTTTTCTATTTTAAACATGAAAGTTGTATTCTACAAGTACATAAAACTATTATTTCTTTATAAATAAAATAATTAACTTGTGTAATTTATACTTTTAGAGCATATTATTTCTCTTTCTCTGGAACATATCTAGAAGTTTACATAATGTAAATTTTCCATTATGTCATTCATAAGCATATTAGTTTTCTGTGAATCTAGCACAAGCATATTAATTTTCTTTAATTATTCATGAAACCATACAATTTCAATAGCTATTTCAAGACAATTTTCTATTATTAATTAATCTTCTAATTAATCTTATGTGTATTGGATGTAAAGTTTCATAGTATGTACTGTAATTTATCAACACTTTTTTTCTTTTTTAAATATGAAGATTATGTTCTGCAGACAAACAAATCTTTTAATTATTTAGATCAGTAATATAATTTAACTTATGTAATTTGCATTTACAGAGGACATTTACAATAAATTTCTATTTTTCTAGAATATAACTACAGCTATAAATCTTTATGCAGTAAATATGGCATGTCTAATAGATAAGTTATTTTCCTGTGAATCTTATCAATTGTTTTAATTGTTATATATTAAAGTTTATTTTTACAGCAAATTAAATTAAATACTAATTTGTACTACCACATTTCATTTACTAAAATAAGTTACTTTATTGTTTTTCTATAGATCTAATTATACATTAAAATAATTCTTTTAATTTATAAATATATCTCTACACCTACACTTTTCATAATATAAAACTTTTTTTTTAATTTTGTTTTGCTTTGCTTTATTTTCAACATTTTAAACTTCATATTAAAAAAAATTCATAATTTTATTTAAAAAATAATAATAGTAATTTTTTTGAAATTTGTCTTATCTTAGTTCTGAAATATCTGACATTTTAAATAGCATGATATTAGATTTATTATCATTAACAATGCTTCATATAGTAAAATAATTAATCTGATGAACACAGAGATGTAATTTGTAATAAATTAGATTCTATAATTATATGAACATTTCTTATTTAACAATTTTCTAAGTGAATTTTTAATATTCCAACACTTTTGCATCATTTTCATGTTAAATAAATGTGTAGTCTGAGGGGGGTAAACATTAAGTAATATTCTACATGTTTTTCCCTTATCTTAGTGCTTTTTTTAAATAATTTTAAACTTTTAATCAATCCAATAATCAAAATTCTTAGAAAATTTCAAAACTCGAATTCTTAGATATGGAAATTCAATATTTTAGAATAATGTTTATATATAACTCTCGATTATCCAGAATAAAATACATGAGACATATCCTTAAATATGGAGGACCTCTATGGGATGGCATTGAAGGAAAAAAAATGATAGAAGGCCAGGTAGGTCCTACGTGAAGGCCTACTAACTTAAAGAAAATACAGCGTTACAGTGACGTATCCAGGACTTTGAGAATATGGATGGACTATGGATCTTGTAACATGGAATTCAATAATAGGAGAAAACCAGCTAAACAGGCTGAGAGACTTAGAGATCCAGAACGAGTATATACACAAACTTAACTGACAAAAAATGTCAATTAGAAAGTTGTAGGCCATAAAAACATTTGAAAGAACCCCTCTTTTGTTCGACACATTAGCGAGAAGATAAAACGAAAAACAAATCCAAAAAGCCAGCAAAGTTTTGTTGCTGTCGTGCAGTGAAGCACCTCTGGTTGTTTTGCCCGAATGGAAAGATTGCAGGTGCTTCAATGCATGACATCGACTTTTATTTTCACTTATAAAAAACATACAACTAGCAGATACCCGCTTTGGCTAGTGAAAATGATATATTAAGTAAAGGTAATATAGTCATATAAAAATACACACACACATAAAAATTCATATACGGAAAAAGAATATGTGCTTCCAATAAACAGACACACAAACGTGAATTCGAAGTAGTCTATATCCTTCCCAGGACTATCCTGAATTCATGTAGGCCTACGAAGTTTCATAGAAATCGGTTCATCAATTCTCGCGTGATTTACGGGCAAACAGACATACTGTGAATTCAATTTTATATGTATAGAAGAATCTGTTTGTTTACGAGGAAAAATTGACGTTATAGAATGGGAATCCAACTTGTTAAGAAACCAAAATTACGTTATTCTGGAATAACATTAGCCTACTTTTAAATGTTATAAGTGACGTCAAAGGATTCTGGATAATGTTAAAAAGTGAAAGTGGTATCATCCGGCTTTTCTTAATATTCTCCAAAAGTAAACATTTCTACTGAGAATCGAACTTAACATTTCATAAATTTTCTTAAAGTCAAACATTATAAATTTATTGATAATAAATGATCACGTTGTTTACACTTGCATCTCTTATGTTACTTACACGAGATTCTTTTAAAATATTTAGACATCAAAAGTGTATATCGTATAGAATATCCTTATAATTCTTTTAGGTGCAATAAATTCTAGACAAATACAAATCTAGAATGTATGTGCATACTAAATGAATTAAGCTAAATCTCAAGAACGTCTTTCAAATGTGGAGAGAATTCTGAAAGATTAATTTTTTTGATATTAAAAATTGTTATATATCCTTGTATATTAAAAAATAATAAAATTTGAAAATGCCATGAATCATTTGTAAGAAATTTTTTGAGGCTTTGGAAATATAAGGACCTGAGCAGTGGAGCGTTATCCTATGGGCAAAAAGGGCAATTGTCCGGACCTCCACCAATATGGGGGGGCCAAACTAATCTTTTATAAACTCATTACTTTAGTAAGAATATCGAAATTTAAATTTTGCGCCATGTCTGGAGACCCTAGATTGCTGGTGTGACGAAGAACTTAATCTTTCAGAGATAGCGTTAAAAAATATTTTCCTAAAGAAAATGTCTGAAGTCGACATTGTACGCTATATGATCCCCCTAATTCAAATGTGCCTGGGTCCCACGAAGCTATGGACTTCAGCTAAATGGCCTTTCTGATCTGCATCTTAAATCATACAAAAATCCTTTATTGCTCTTTTAAATAACTCTTGTAAGCTCAAGCACACACTTTACAATTGAAACATTGAATGAAATGTTTACTAGATCCGGGAAGTAGAACCTATGGTGCCTAAAGGGTACATTAGTTTTTTTTTTTTTATTAAGGTTTTATATGTATTTAAAATCCGAATTCGGATCCTAATTGTTGTTTTCAACATGTCGAATGGTCTTGTAAAAAGAGTTAAAATGGTCGCTTTTCCGCTAAGATTCGATGATTTGCACAGATGTGTAGAGGTACAACAGAAACAAAGGATTTTGCTTTATAATTGAGATGAAATTCATTATTACAGTTTAATAATAGTTTATGACAAAGGATGACGAGAAATAAAGAAGGATAAAGAAATTAAACATTATTTTATCGTTAAACTACAAATAAAAGTGGAAGATTCTTATTTCCGTTTGTATAAAAGGCATCATTTTATAATAATTAATTATATAAAAAATTTTAAAATAAAATTTGAGATGGCGTCACGCACAGTTTTAAATGTTACCGGGAAAGTTAAGCAATTTGTTGCTGGTTTTTTTTTTAAATCGGGTTTTGTTTTGATTATGTCTTGTTCATTAGAGCATTAACAAATGTAAAGTAGAATCGGTCCATCACGTCCAAACCGGCTCCCGGGAAAATTCATATCAAGAAATTCTGGGGCAAGATGATCCTGGTGGTGCGCCATCTTGCTGGAATATATTTATCTAATGATCTTCCAATTGAAATAGCAGAAACTTCTGTAGCATATAAACATAGTTCACCTCTATCATTGCTTTTCAGCAAAGGAAGAGACCCTAAAATTTTCGATTATGACGAATATGTTATTCACAGTTCTGGTCTCTCAGACTTCTCGAATGGCGTGAATGTTTTCTGATCCCCATACTCTGTAGTTATGATTCAGCATCCCAGGTAAGTGTCAGCCTACCCCTTTTGGAAACCCGGAAACGAATCCCAGGAATTTTTCGATGATTCCATTCAAGGATATGTGGTTCCGGACGTCTCATTTTGGACTTCGTCGATTGAACAATGGATTTGGCTAAAAACGTCGGTGTCCATAGGAACAATTTGTTTTGAAGATCATCTTTGGATATGGTACAGTACCTTCAATCGCAAATAGCTGTACTACTCACTGTTATAAGCTATCTGGCAACGTAATGTGAGCAGTTTAAATATATCAGGTTCCAGGAACGTGTTGTTCACACTATACGTATTTGACCTGTACAAGTCTTAACACAGAACGGACTGTTTGAATTCATTATAAAAGAACAAAAGGCGTTTCAGACTTTTATAATTTTTTAAGCTCTCTCAATAAGTTGAAAATAAGTGGTTTCGGCGATTCAATTGCCGCCGAATATTTAAAAATTTTTATAATTACAAGTACTGTATTTATTATTCCGTGGTGTTATAATTCCAGAGAGAACGGCTGGTTGGCCGAGTGTTTTNTTATAAATATAAAATATACAGAATTTTATTAAATTAATAGCTTATTTAATCATATGTAAATTTATATATAAAGTTTATATTCCAGAAGCATGTTTAATCTAGCAATCTTCTACAAGTGAATTACTTAACTGCTTGACTAACAAGTAAGTGATGCTGTCATTGTTGCATAATTCTGCTTAACAATTTGATCAATTTAAGATTGTAAATGTCACGTACAATAACACTAGCTATTGCAAAGAAGAATAATATTACCTTCTCAAATATCCGAATTTAAAAATTCCGTTTTCAATATAAAAGTATCGAATTTTAATTAAAGCTTACGTAAACAAATTACAAGTTTTTATGCTTTATAAAATTAACTTAAATATATTTTCAACATTTATAACAAGAAAAGTAATCTTCATGTACAAAGTGATATAACTACTTGTTCAAATTAAAGTAGGAATAAATTCTCAGATACTTCTTTAGGTATTTAATATTTATGACTGTTTTGACAAATACAGGAAAGTCAACTTAAGTAAGGTCAGTCAGCGATTATAATAGATTCCGAAGCATGTGATAGGTGCCAGAAATCTTATACAAGAACAGAATAATGAATGTAAAATGTGTCTAAAGAATTTTATATCATCTCTTTAGAAAATTATTCTGAAGTTTGATATTAAATATATTTAAATTTTTGAATGTAATCAATCATGAAAAATTATCTTCTTTAAGAGTATTTTATGATTTTACCAAAAAAATTTGCAATTTTATAAATATGATTAGTAATTTGTTCACAGTTGGAATGGTTTCAAAATCAACTAAATTCTGCTATTTCACGTTGATAAAACTATTATTAGCACATCCCACTAAACCAAATAAAAATTCTTAGCTTTATTTAATCTTTTTTATTGATGTTTTTATATAATTTCAAACACAGTTAAAGTAAATATTTTATTGTAATTCTGTCATTACTCTTCCTTCAGAATGTTTTAAAAGCTATAGGCCCACAGAATCTTTTTAACTTTCTTGCCAGTTGCCACAATTCTTAAAGTATGACTTTAGTGTGATATCTATATATAAATACTCCCATGATTGCATTAATGTATGTCAGAAACAGTACAGAGACCAGATGGAGTTATGGCATTCGGCCAGGATGCAGCAGGTATTTTTCAAAAAAGTCCATACTCCAATCTCAAAATCTGTAACCTCATTAACAGCAAATATATCTTTGGAGTAATAGTTCAAATATTAATGGAAAAATTAAATTTTTACTTATAATGTAAATTAGCGAGAAATATATAATCCAATTTTGGTTAAATCATAAATGCAGGAAAGACTTATACAAAATCTAAATATATATAAAATTAACATACCTGCCAAATAATTTATTGTCTGCAAATATTGATATTCTTTCTCGTCTATGTAATCTTGAGATTGAGCGGCTACAATTTCGGCCGTACTCAGGCCTTCTTGTTCTTCGGCCTGTCCTTCTCCCCATATCCTTTGACCCCAAGGATGGGGAGGACCGGCGGACGGAGGATCACCTTCTTTTTGCCACTGATGCCAAGATGCCATATTTCATTAAAAGGAATAGCAGCAACAATTAACACTGCATCACCTCTGCTGCTCAAATCATTTATATAATTCCTTACAGTTCCATGTTGTCAAACTGAAAATATTAAAATAAATCATTAACATACATATAACTATTAAATCAAAATCACATATAATGTTACATAATATATTCATTGAACAGATTATTATTGTTAGAATACCATTTACTAAAAACAGTAAATGTGACAGTCTGTATCTACCATTCCAGTTACTATTTTAAATGATGCTGATTATAGTACATTGCACAATGATCACGGTTCACAGCCAGCCACCACTATACAAGCATGAGAAGATGCAAGTGGAATAGCATTTCTCAGTCTTGTCATTTTTCTTACAGTCTAAATGGTGCCAGACGGTACATAAAAACAAAAACTATTTTTAATGGTATGAAGAATAGAAATTTAAAAGTTTTAATTGTATAATTTTGTTTAGTCTATGAAAAATATATTCTTAAAATTTTATCTTTATATTTAATTATTAATCATCAAATGATAAATTTCTGTTTATATAACACCGTCCTTAACAAACCGTTGATCTAATAAAATCTGATGTAGTTTATTAACTAATGACTTTATTATATTAAAAATTATTTTAAAATATGTAAATGACATCTGACAAGTAATGTAATTTATTTATTACCTAATTTTTTTTTATTATTTTACACAAAATATTTATTTTATTTATTTATTTTTTTTCAGTTTTACAGATAGAAAATTTTGTAAAGTTTGAGATTAAATAAGTAAATAAATATATACTAAACAAAAATAAACTGTTTATTCAAATTAATTTCTAAAGAACAAACAATAAATATAAACAAAGATAAGTTTTTTTTAAATTACTGTGTACAGAATAAAGCCTCAATCAAACTGTAGTTAAATAATTTTAAAAATCCTTATGAATTTAAATTTAGGACATAAAAATTCACTCAGTTTCACTGCTCTTTAATATAAACAAGACCACGTTGTAGAATGAAATGTATGAAAACATCACTTACCTTCAATTTCTGATGGAAAAACGAAGAAGAATAATTGAAAACTTCTTTCTTCGAGTCGGACGAGGCTCGAAATGATCATAAGTTTTTTTACAATTCGGTGGCACGAGTTCCCACATGCGCCACAAACATTCGTAAACAGAAAAGGCGTGTACCTTGTCAACGCAACACCATCTGGTGATCAATTATGGAAGTAACAACAATTGTCAAATTATTTTATTATTTTTTTTCTTTTAGAAAATTTACGTTAATTTTTTTATATTTTCGTGTATAAAAAAATTAATAAATTACGTAAATAATTTTTTTCGTTACTTTACGCATTACTCGCATTTTAATATCTTTCGCGTTTTGTATCGAAATTCGAATTTTTTTTTTTTATTGCCGAAATTTAAATCTGTAGCCTTTAAAATAGTTTTTAAAAAATTTTCTTTAGTCGTTGATTTACTTGTAAAAAAGTATCAAAATCTATTAAAGTTATTCCTTTAACGTTACTCATAGATTCCATAGAGGATCAATAGGCGTATATATCGATTTTCTGAGTAATTTCAGGGAAAGGCAACATTAATTTAAGGGAACTCGTCGATAAGAAAGTGTTGTATTTAATTAATAAATTTAACAAACTGGCATGGTTAAAGCTATTGAAATAATCCCAATTTAGATGAACGAGAGGAGAAACATTGCCAAGACACTTAACTTTGCTATCATCGGTATAACGGCTCAAGATCCCCTATTTATAGATGAACGTTTATAAAACAAATAGACTAAATTGGAGAAAGAGAAGGTGAAGGGCATCCTCCCACTAATGAACAATTTAAAACGATCTTTTTTACTATTACTTTTTTTATGTGATTTGTGCATCCCGTTCATTTCTCAAGGAAAAATAATAATAATAATAATGGATCTGAAGTGTTGTAGTATTAAATCTTATGGAGTATTTGTGATTTGGGTGTTGGATCCCTCAGTTACATAAAATTAAACAAAAAAAATGTTTATAAATAAATAAATGGTTCTTTATGGTGCGCTTAATTTTTCTTCATTCTGGTTTTATTTTTTACATCATAGGAGCAAAATCTTAGTTACTCCACTTTTTTTCTATTTTAAACATGAAAGTTGTATTCTACAAGTACATAAAACTATTATTTCTTTATAAATAAAATAATTAACTTGTGTAATTTATACTTTTAGAGCATATTATTTCTCTTTCTCTGGAACATATCTAGAAGTTTACATAATGTAAATTTTCCATTATGTCATTCATAAGCATATTAGTTTTCTGTGAATCTAGCACAAGCATATTAATTTTCTTTAATTATTCATGAAACCATACAATTTCAATAGCTATTTCAAGACAATTTTCTATTATTAATTAATCTTCTAATTAATCTTATGTGTATTGGATGTAAAGTTTCATAGTATGTACTGTAATTTATCAACACTTTTTTTCTTTTTTAAATATGAAGATTATGTTCTGCAGACAAACAAATCTTTTAATTATTTAGATCAGTAATATAATTTAACTTATGTAATTTGCATTTACAGAGGACATTTACAATAAATTTCTATTTTTCTAGAATATAACTACAGCTATAAATCTTTATGCAGTAAATATGGCATGTCTAATAGATAAGTTATTTTCCTGTGAATCTTATCAATTGTTTTAATTGTTATATATTAAAGTTTATTTTTACAGCAAATTAAATTAAATACTAATTTGTACTACCACATTTCATTTACTAAAATAAGTTACTTTATTGTTTTTCTATAGATCTAATTATACATTAAAATAATTCTTTTAATTTATAAATATATCTCTACACCTACACTTTTCATAATATAAAACTTTTTTTTTAATTTTGTTTTGCTTTGCTTTATTTTCAACATTTTAAACTTCATATTAAAAAAAATTCATAATTTTATTTAAAAAATAATAATAGTAATTTTTTTGAAATTTGTCTTATCTTAGTTCTGAAATATCTGACATTTTAAATAGCATGATATTAGATTTATTATCATTAACAATGCTTCATATAGTAAAATAATTAATCTGATGAACACAGAGATGTAATTTGTAATAAATTAGATTCTATAATTATATGAACATTTCTTATTTAACAATTTTCTAAGTGAATTTTTAATATTCCAACACTTTTGCATCATTTTCATGTTAAATAAATGTGTAGTCTGAGGGGGGTAAACATTAAGTAATATTCTACATGTTTTTCCCTTATCTTAGTGCTTTTTTTAAATAATTTTAAACTTTTAATCAATCCAATAATCAAAATTCTTAGAAAATTTCAAAACTCGAATTCTTAGATATGGAAATTCAATATTTTAGAATAATGTTTATATATAACTCTCGATTATCCAGAATAAAATACATGAGACATATCCTTAAATATGGAGGACCTCTATGGGATGGCATTGAAGGAAAAAAAATGATAGAAGGCCAGGTAGGTCCTACGTGAAGGCCTACTAACTTAAAGAAAATACAGCGTTACAGTGACGTATCCAGGACTTTGAGAATATGGATGGACTATGGATCTTGTAACATGGAATTCAATAATAGGAGAAAACCAGCTAAACAGGCTGAGAGACTTAGAGATCCAGAACGAGTATATACACAAACTTAACTGACAAAAAATGTCAATTAGAAAGTTGTAGGCCATAAAAACATTTGAAAGAACCCCTCTTTTGTTCGACACATTAGCGAGAAGATAAAACGAAAAACAAATCCAAAAAGCCAGCAAAGTTTTGTTGCTGTCGTGCAGTGAAGCACCTCTGGTTGTTTTGCCCGAATGGAAAGATTGCAGGTGCTTCAATGCATGACATCGACTTTTATTTTCACTTATAAAAAACATACAACTAGCAGATACCCGCTTTGGCTAGTGAAAATGATATATTAAGTAAAGGTAATATAGTCATATAAAAATACACACACACATAAAAATTCATATACGGAAAAAGAATATGTGCTTCCAATAAACAGACACACAAACGTGAATTCGAAGTAGTCTATATCCTTCCCAGGACTATCCTGAATTCATGTAGGCCTACGAAGTTTCATAGAAATCGGTTCATCAATTCTCGCGTGATTTACGGGCAAACAGACATACTGTGAATTCAATTTTATATGTATAGAAGAATCTGTTTGTTTACGAGGAAAAATTGACGTTATAGAATGGGAATCCAACTTGTTAAGAAACCAAAATTACGTTATTCTGGAATAACATTAGCCTACTTTTAAATGTTATAAGTGACGTCAAAGGATTCTGGATAATGTTAAAAAGTGAAAGTGGTATCATCCGGCTTTTCTTAATATTCTCCAAAAGTAAACATTTCTACTGAGAATCGAACTTAACATTTCATAAATTTTCTTAAAGTCAAACATTATAAATTTATTGATAATAAATGATCACGTTGTTTACACTTGCATCTCTTATGTTACTTACACGAGATTCTTTTAAAATATTTAGACATTAAAAGTGTATATCGTATAGAATATCCTTATAATTCTTTTAGGTGCAATAAATTCTAGACAAATACAAATCTAGAATGTATGTGCATACTAAATGAATTAAGCTAAATCTCAAGAACGTCTTTCAAATGTGGAGAGAATTCTGAAAGATTAATTTTTTTTATATTAAAAATTGTTATATATCCTTGTATATTAAAAAATAATAAAATTTGAAAATGCCATGAATCATTTGTAAGAATTTTTTTGAGGCTCCGGAAATATAAGGACCTGAGCAGTGGAGCGTTATCCTGTGGGCAAAAAGGGCAATTGTCCGGACCTCCACCAATATGGGGGCCCAAACTAATCTTTTATAAACTCATTACTTTAGTAAGAATATCGAAATTTAAATTTTGCGCCATGTCTGGAGACCCTAGATTGCTGGTGTGACGAAGAACTTAATCTTTCAGAGGTAGCGTTAAAAAATATTTTCCTAAAGAAAATGTCTGAAGTCGACATTGTACGCTATATGATCCCCCTAATTCAAATGTGCCTGGGTCCCACGAAGCTATGGACTTCAGCTAAATGGCCTTTCTGATCTGCATCTTAAATCATGCAAAAATCCTTTATTGCTCTTTTAAATGACTCTTGTAAGCTCAAGCACACACTTTACAATTGAAACATTGAATGAAATGTTTACTAGATCCGGGAAGTAGAACCTATGGTGCCTAAAGGGTACATTAGTTTTTTTTTTATTAAGGTTTTATATGTATTTAAAATCCGAATTCGGATCCTAATTGTTGTTTTCAAAATGTCGAATGGTCTTGTGAAAGAGTTAAAATGGTCGCTTTACCACTAAGATTCGATGATTTGCACAGATGTGTAGAGGTACAACAGAAACAAAGGATTTTGCTTTATAATTGAGATGAAATTCATTATTACAGTTTAATAATAGTTTATGACAAAGGATGACGAGAAATAAAGAAGGATAAACAAATTAAACATTATTTTATCGTTAAACTACAAATAAAAGTGGAAGATTCTTATTTCCGTTTGTATAAAAGGCATCATTTTATAATAATTAATTATATAAAAAATTTTAAAATAAAATTTAAGAGATGGCGTCACGCACAGTTTTAAATGTTACCGGGAAAGTTAAGCAATTTGTTGCTGGTTTTTTTAAAATCGGGGTTTGTTTTGTGGTGATTATGTCTTGTTCATTAAAGCATTAACGAATGTAAATTTAAAGTAGAATCGGTCCATCACGTCCAAACCGGCTCCCGGGAAAATTCATATCAAGAAATTCTGGGGCAAGAAGATCCTGGTGGTGCGCCATCTTGCTGGAATATATTTATCTAATGATCTTCCAATTGAAATAGCAGAAACTTCTGTAGCATATAAACATAGTTCACCGCTATCATTGCTTTTCAGCAAAGGAAGAGGCCCTAAAAGTTTCGATTATGACGAATATGTTATTCATAGTTTTGGTCTCTCGACTTCTCGAATGGCGTGAATGTTTTCTGATCCCCATACTCTGTAGTTATGATTCAGCATCCCAGGTAAGTGTCAGCCTACCCCTTTTGGAAACCCGGAAACGAATCCCAGGAATTTTTCGATGATTCCATTCAAGGATATGTGGTTCCGGACGTCTCATTTTGGACTTCGTCGATTGAACAATGGATTTGGCTAAAAA